AGGCCAGATGTTCTTGCTCATACGTTGGTGTGAACATGAACACACAACCTGAAAAAGGTGACGGCAATGCTTGTTTTCGTATCATTCATCACCCTGGTGTCAGAAGTCATTATTTAGAAGTTGTTTTCATAAATGAGGGGCAGCAAAAACCTTGAAAATTAATGGCCACACCTGATTGGACCTGATTTTCAGTTCCCGTTTTATGTGTGGCCGGCTTAGAGTTTGTTTTTCTTTAATTAGGGTAAAGACATTCTTTCTATCCAAATGGGATTCCCCCACCTTGCTGAGGAGTCAATGACAAAGATTTACTCCCCACATGGCTGAGCTGCCAATTTACCAATAACCTCGCTGTTCCTATGCTAGCGCTGTGTGGGTGTCTGCCCCTCCTGCAAAATCCAAGCTGGCACTCTCCAAACAGAGCGCTTCCTTCTGGATAATTTGGTCCTCAGGGATGGACTTATGAGCCATTAACAAACTTCCCTCTGCTGTTCCAACGGGCCGTGATCGTAGGAAAAACTAACACTTTAAAAACTTAATTTTCCCTCCTTGTTTGGTCGACCTGATTAGCTGGCTGCTAATTCTCCTCCCCGGTGCAATTAATCACATTGACACCTGTACTCCGGGCTTCGTCAGAGGCTTCATTCTCACTCTCTGCCGAGTAACCGGCGCGTGCTCTAGGCACATTGGGAGGTGTTATTTTTGTGGAATCATTACAAGGACTCAGAAAATTGCAACACAAAAGGCTAAAATCTTTGATTTCTGCATTCCTTCAAGAAAAAATAACAAAAAAGCCACATCTGTGTTTTCTGGCTTGAGGTCAGACTCAATATAAATTATGTTTAAAAGATGTCTAACAATTTTGATGAAAAGGAAATATTAGCAACCTTTTTACTCAAAGTAAAGAGGACTGAAATAAGTTACAAAGCAACAGGATCCTCGTCTGAAATGGGCAAAAAAAAGTTGTGGAAGAAGTTTTAAAAGTGGACCACTTCGGCAGAACTACACACATCTGATGTGATGTAAGTGCTGGCCATTTTTTACCAGCGTCAAATGTTAAAGTTGCCACCAGATTTGTCGTGAACTTGAACGGCTGAAAGTAAATTTATGATCCAAGAAAGTTATCCTGGCAGATATGTCATCTTTCACATTCATTCTGGCAATGTGCACACTACCCACAATGCTAATCTAGTCATTGTCGGAACAATGAGTTCAGCCATATCAGACTTGTCATTCGGTATCACAACTAGTTTCAGCTTTTTGCCCAAGAGTTTGAAGTTCAGAGTAAAAAAAAAAAAAAAAAGTAAGTTTCACAAACTTATTTTGTGGCTTTGAAAACCTCACCGAGGTTTCTGTTTGAATATTTACTGAATTGCGTCACACTCCACCTCTCAAAAATGGCAGGCCTGCTGTTGTTTGAGAGGTCAGGGGCCAATCTGGGCATCAGAATGTACTGGAAGCCAAATGTGACAGTGCACCTGCCTTGCATTTCAATCCTAGCACCCCCCCCCCCCCAAAACCTCGCACCAGACCTTGCCATCAAAGAGCTCGGCCCGCGCTGACTCACATGCATCAACAAGCCAGGACATCTGTGGAGCTCTGGCAGCCAACGCGCGTTTGTGTGCGGGGTGTGCACGCTCGCTTGTGCTCTTGCAATCCAGACAGTGTGTGAGAGACCTCACATTGCAGCCAACACTGACTCTTACTCACGGCTGTGTTTGGCCAGCATGCCAGTGGGAGCCACGCCGCGTGTTACAAGCGGCGTCGGAAGCAGAGTCCTGCGGCTGCATCCCGGGGATCACTTTTACAAACTTACAGCACGCGCACGCACATTTACTCACTTTTGTTTTTTTTCTGTGTTTATCGCACGAGAAAAAGGGAACACACACACACACACGTAAATAGTTTCCGCACACAGGCGCCCTCCGCTGCATGAATATTCATTCGCAACTGTGATGAGCTGTGACATGCTTTCCTGGCAGGGCTCAGGGACCACATGGCTGGGGTGTTGGAGGAAGAGAAAGGCCGTGTCGGAGCGTGTTACCCAGGCCTGCCTCATTCAATTGGATCCAAGCACGATGGTCGGATTTCTCAATCTCAGATGGATTCCAGACGTTCCCTTAAAGCCTCTCCTCCCCTTCCTTTTTCGCTCTTTGATTTAAAAAAAAAAAGTCTGTAAGGCTGCAGGGGTGCACATGTGGACGTTAACAGAGGAGAAAGAAAAGGTGCACCTTGCTCTATGCATCAAGCACATTTTCTTAACCAGAAACCAGCGCTCCTGGATAAAATTTCATCCACTTTAACGAGCTGTTGCAGGCTGGCATGGCCGATCATGCCGGAACAATGCCGCCTTTCCGCGGCTGCCCATTGTGCACAGATCTCTGCATTGTTCCACCTCCCCCACCCCCCCTCCCCTGCTCGCCCCCTTTAGCCACTCACTCCCGGCCAGCTGGCACGGAGATGGCAGCGCCGTTGACAAGGTTCACAATACCCCCTCTAGTCCATGCCACAATAGCGGGACATGGACACAGGCACCTCTATGGCACACAAGAGGCTGCAGAGGGGATGCTGGGGCCTCACGGGCAGGTGGTGCTGCCAACGTCTGTGTGACGTGTTGCTAGCTTTCAGCGCTGACAAGGGGCTAGCAGAGAGGTTTCTTCTTTTAAAATCCACATTGTTCACAGAGGGGACTCTAGAGGATGAGTGTTTGTGTGCTGTTTTTCTCTCTCTCGGGGAGATGGGGAGCTTAGTCACCTCTCCCCGCTCTCTCTGCACACACACACATCCGGTATTTTCAACTCTACGTGGTATTGCTCTGACTTTTTGTCTGAGCTTATCAATACAAAGAAAGTGGCAGATTCACATGTCTTGGTAAACTGGAGAGGAAGGGAAAAGTGGGGTTTTTGTTTTTTTTCCGACCGAGTCTGAGTGACAGCTGGATGCCAAAGCGTTTGCTCCTCAAGTCACGATACGATGTTGCAGTGGGTGTCGTATTTGTCTGGGTGCTCTTGCCAGCGCCTGAGCTTGCTGGTTTGTCATTTCAAGAGGAGCTTTAGTGTCTCTGGGAGCTCTGACTAGGTTACACAAAGTTGAAGGGTGTGACAGAACTGTCGAGGTCCTTGAAGGTCATGTTTTCTAAACTAGACTGCAAAAAAAAACCCGCTAAATAAATACCTTTCTATATACACATTTTGGTTTATTTCCCATTAACATTCCTGCAAAGGGGTTGGCCAAATACTTTAAACTGAACTGGCAATGAGAAGAATCAGTTTTTTGGTTCCCGAGTTGACGACAACTTTTTAATCTGCACCTTTTAAATGCCGTAACCGAATAATGCAAGTAATGCAATCTTTCCTTAAGTTTGGTTTAGTTTTTAGATTCACTGGTCAAGAATAATGCCTTTTTTTAATACCAGACAAAGCAGAAGAAATAAGCAGTATTACCTCGCCACACTGACTGACCGGTTCTCTTGCTCTGGTTGAGACTTTGCACAGGAGCAGGTGTTCCAGCTCGTCGTAAACATCCCGTTACCCTCACACGGTACAAGAGCGGCTGTTTGATTGCTTGTTATTTATTTATTTTCCCTTTTTAATGGCAGGTTGCAATTTAGAACCTTTTCACCCGTGGACACACAATGTCAAACGTTAATGTATGTGTTTGCATAAATTCCAAGCGGTTGTGTTGTCAGGCGGCGGCTGGGTGTGAATTTCATTACTGTCAGGAATGTAAACAGCAGGCCAGTGGCAGCACCAAGATGGTTTTGATGTTGAGATGCTCCACTACTGCAAGTTTTTCCAGCGCTGCCATGTGGCTGCTTTGACACCAACTGGTACCTCTGTGGGTTGGTACGGGGGCGGCGGGCGTCCTGAATCAAACATATAAACTAAATCAACACTTATTTAAATAATTCTGAGGTTCCTTTCTCCAAATGTGTTTGGTTACTATCGTTTTAATCCACAGCTGCATTACTAGGGAAACTGAAATATCTCAAAAACTGTAGGAATGATTGCCATTTTGTGCATCCAAAGTTGTCAGAGGAAGAACCCCTAATGTCTTTGGCGGTACGAGGATTTTTAAAATCGTTGTCTTTTGTGCAGTATGTTGAAACATTTTAAAATTGCAAGAATGACATTTCCATCTACTTTGGCTAAAATTCAACTTAAAAAACGATTCAAAACATCAGAGATAACTTTTGGCACAATTTGCAAACTTGACACTCTATGCAGTATCATAGTGAAACCATTAGTTACTTACTTACTTGGAGTGACCAAGATTAGTTTGAAAATCTACGATCAATATGTTTTGATGATACAAAAAGGACAATCAGCACAGAGCGGTGAAGCTGTATCCATTACCTGCCAAACAAGGCCCCCATTGTGTAGTCCACTTTCAAGTTCTACTTCAAGTGTAATTTATTTTCTAATCAGTCCATCCCTGTGGACCGCTCCATCTCCCCCTCTTCTTCCCTTCCCTTTTTCCCCCTGCACCCCAAAGGTTCTCCCCTCCTGACAGTTCAGCACTTTTAAGTTCTTTTGAAATGCATATTCTGCACAGGCCCTGCACGGGGCATGCGTACACTGCCGACTAATTGTGGAGGCCAAATGTTTAATTACACATGGCAGGAGGAGCAGCGGGAGGCCACAACCGCAGCGGGGCTCAAAAACAACGGGCCTAGCTTTAACTCGCGCTAACAACAACCAGCATCCCCCCCCCCCCCCCATCACTTTGCTAAAAAACCTACTGAGAGTACAGACGGCAGGAGAGGGGAGGTGAAGGGAGTTTGTTTTCATGTTTGTGTGTAGATAAGCAGATTTAACTCTTAAATTCTTCCAGTAAATGTGTTAAATATGCCTCAGTAGTGGATTTACTAAGCCAGCTCTGTGATTTGAAGTCTTCATGCTGAGGAGAGCACACCAACGGTTCAAGGTGTGCAAACACTTAGCTTGAATATGCTCTCCCGCTTTAGCTTTGCATTAACAGACGCTGGTCTTTGGTCTTCTCAGCAGGCCTGCAGCTCCTCCTGCTTCTGCTAATGGATCCAGACTGATCCCGGGGAGCCGGGCTGAGGAGGTGGAGGGGCCAGGAGGAAAACTTGGGGGCCCCGACGTCTGTGACCCTCAGGGTTGGCGAGGTCGGCTGGAGAGGAAGCGCGGAGCAGCAGGGGAAGTGGGAGCACCTGTGCAGGTCAGTGGCAGCCCGTCAAGCTTAACTAATTTTGAAATTGACCTTGGACCTCCATTCCCACGGTGCACCGGGGCTGAGAAAGGTCCGCGCCGCTCTTTCAGCTCGACTCCTGGTTCTAATTAGCGGCCAGAAGAAAGTTGTTATCTGATTAAGCCTCCTTATAAAACCATATCATTGATTGTATCCTTTGCACGTTGTCCGTACAAATTAGCCCATTAACACACAACAGGGACGCAGAGAGTGATTTAATAAAATGAAGCTAAAGCCTATAATGGCTGCCGTTCCTTGAGTGGTTGACCTACTGTGAGGGATTAGCAAGGCCTGCACTCAGCCCTACACTGATACCAACCACATAAACACACACACACACACATAAACACACTTTCCTACTAGCAAACCTCTCCTGGATGCTAAATTCTTCCCTACGTTTAAAAAAAAAAAAAAGGGCTAAACCTTCATGTTTTGTCCACACATGCGATAAAAAGTCAGTATTTATTTTGCCAGTGCTTCCATATGGTTACAGTTGATGGATTTACAGCTTGCTGATTGGCTAATGTTGCATGTCAACATCAATGACGAGGTGACATCTGTCCGCAAAAGCTCCCATATGCAGGAGCCTTCAAATACAGTATGCGTACACCTGTGAACGTCTGTGTGTGTGTGTGTGTGTATATATCTACCCGTATGTCTGCTGGTGTGGTCTACAAATTGTAACATGCCCAAACAATCACATAACGATTAAACCGCGGCGCAGCGGCCCCCACAATTTTCAGCCACGAGTGAGAAAGAGCACTGCCAGATGTGGAGACGTTACAGTTGTTTCATCTAAAACAGGACAAAAGAGTCATTAACTTGTTTTCTGGGAATAATCCGAAGTACAAGTGTTAACACGATGACCACACCGCATTTGGGATGTAGATATACGTGTCTATTTATGCTGCTTTGAGTGATTCGGTTTGGCCTTCAAAAGGGAATGCGTTTTATTGTTGGTTATGCAATGTTTGTGGATAAATGCTCGACTCTTCAGCAAATATATCAATAGTATCAATGTAGTCAATTTGAATCTTCACAGTATCAAATGATGGCACAAACGTAGATTGTTTTAATGCCATTCAGCTTCTCATTAAGGCGTGGTCATAGTTATTCTTTATTCAGTTGTAGAAGGATTTCTTTTCTGGTGGTGTCACCTCCCATGTTTGCGCTTGCAAAAGAACAACCTGTCAATCAAACAGTGGGGGGGCGGGCATCCTTGGATTCTGAGATGTCCTGCTGATTCATCTTTTGTAGAAAGCCCTCTCTGTTTTGGTGGCCCTTGTGGTTTATTTTTGCTTCTGTGTGGGACAACTTCTACCGGAATGCATATACTGCCTCACTTCCCATTTTAGTTGTCTTTTTTTTTTTTTAGTGATTAGTGAAATTGGTAAATAGAATGCATATTCCTTGCACTGCTCGTGCGTATAAAATGACTCCTATTGACCTCCAGTTGGTGCTGTCATAATCAAGTTTACATTTTCATATTTATTAAGTCTTATTTCTATCCGAGATCAATTTCCTAAAAACTCGTTTATTGACATCTAGATAGAAACTGCTGGGCATTTGTGTGGAGACTTCACTGACCTCATTTCCTGTTCAATATGTCTATCTGTTTAGCCAATCAGTGCTCATCAAATGGATAGTTTAGGTTAGGAATGTGTTGAGATATCAACCTGAAGTTTTGGAACATTTTCTTATTAATTTCACTCATATTTGACAAAAGCCAGCAGCCAATAGCTCAGATTCTGTTAGCACAACAGTTTTTTTTTAGTGGCATCTTTTGGATCTGTGAGGTTTTCACCCCTCAGTGAAACACACAAACAGACACAGACACGCACCTCCTCTATTTCCCACAACCATAACCCTTGAATCCCAGCGATCTGCCTCCATTGTTCCTCCGCTGCTCGTCATTTCCATCATAAAGGCTGCCAGGATATGCATGGTTTCATTCACAAAATCATCTCCCAGTGTACTGCTGAAGAAATCGAGGAAGAGGAGGAGGAGGGGGGACGCGTCTGTTGTTGCCCCAGGAGCAACAACTAAATGAAAACAGAAGTCCCGACCCAAAGCGCGTTCACTCAAGCAGGAACTCCCAGAACAAAGACGCCGTTGTGTGTTTTCAAAGACCCCGGTGTCGTCGTGGGGCCTTGACCTCAGGCGAGCCTGACCCTAACCTGTGTGTGTGTGGTGGGGGGGTTTGTTTGTTTGGAAATGACACATCACACCTCATGTGTCGGACACCAAAGCTGCTGTCAGTCACAGCAATGCAGGAAATCTGGGACTGTGGACGTCAAAAAAAGCTCGAGAGCTGGAAAATGTTGTCACTATGTCAGGATCTTTTACAAGATACATCCAAATAAGGGCTTATTATTTTCTTTGTCTGTATATTTTATTAGTTGTTATCATATCATGCCGTATCATATGGTATGGTTTCGTTTTGAATAGTATTCTATGATGACATACAGTAGAAGACATCAGCTTGATGACATTAAGGAGTAATTCGGTAACATTTTTTCTTCGGAGTAGGCTTCATTTTCTTATTTTGGTGGAATGAATTGATGAATATTCGATGGTACCAGCATGAACTTTTAGGAATGGTGTCACCTCTGGAGAATGACGTCACATGTGCACCTGATGGCTTGGCTGCATCAGACTAAGAATAACTTGTCCACAGTGACCGGTCGGCTGGACTGTAAATACCTTCATGCTGTTGTCCACTTTCCACTGCTGAGCGAGGCTCCCCCACTGACCTGAAAGACCACGAACATGAGGCGGCACTCAGCGCATGCTGGGCCTTCAGGTCTGCTGGGAAAACGTAGTGAATTTAAACAATGCTTTCCCAAGGAGACGTGGCGGGCAAATGCTTTGATGAAGTCAACAATGACAGAGGAAAAGTGAAAGACTTTTTTTTTTTTTTTTTTTTTAAATAAAAAATACACCCTGCAGAGAATCTTTATTGTTCTGCACAAAACTTTTAAGTTTCCAGTGGACTGTCTCCCACAAAGTCATCAGTTTGTTGAACAGCAATCATCTCGTTTTCCACTCGGCCTCCCTCTCCAGATCCACAATCTATTTTATTTTCACTTGTCAATACAGTGATCATATAGCTGATCCACAGGAGGGGAGAGTGCAAACACATTCAGCCATAATGTTTGTGCATATGAAGAAATATCTTTGTTTGAAAGTCTTATAGACACGAAGCTACAGACTAAACAAATTCACTAAAATACGGAATAATATAGTTTTTTTTAAATGTTTTCCTGTTTTATTAAATGTAGAGAAAGCCCCCTTGTGTGAACAAAGTTGTATCAGGACTTCTGTGGCTCTGGAAGAGCTTCGTCTAGCCTGAGAAATAATCTGCAGTGATGTCAACACAGTTACTTAATATGTGTGTCAAACCAGAGGGAGGGAATTGTCAATAAGAGCAAATAAAAACATTTCAAACTGCATCTTTTGCACGGTAGGATTCAAGGTTTTCAACCCAAACTAAAGAGCATAAATCAGCATAAATTATTTTTTAATCTATCTCTTGCAAGTATCAAACTTAGGAGTAGTGTAAAACTAAATAGCTGACATGCCCTGATTATTTCTTTCCTTTTTTCCTTTATTTCTCAGTTGATGTCAGAGCGTTCTTCTGTTACTACAGATGTTGTTTAGGATGTTGTTGTCTTTAAAGATTTGTACCTTCTTGTCTTGGTGGGAGCAAGCGACCCCATCTAAAGCTTTCCAATGGAAGTAATAACAACTGGAAAAAGTGTATTTAAAAGCCTGATGATTTCTTAAAAGTCAAAGGACTGACCTGTGAGAGTTTTTCAGACCTGGAAATGATGAGGAGTAACACCAACATATAGCCACATCAAATGCATACGTACGCTATCTATATACTGTATATATGTATGCACAGAGAATAATCAAACACATACAGACTGACCATAGGTATGTGCCGATATAATCCTCATTTACACAACATTAATGGTCTCTTTTAATAATGTATACATATAGATAAGTGGCGTCTACTTCTCTTGCAGCAGCTTCAGCAGGACGCCTGACAATCAAACCAGCCGGCTTATTGTTTCAATATGCATGCTTGTTTCAATACTTCACTTGTGATATGTAATATGCAGCAGTGAAATAGCCCTCAGATGGGGAGCTTGATTATGGGATGGTGCACTTTTCCCTCCCTCCCTTTCAGTTCTTGTACACCTTGCAGACCTGCGTTTACCGCTGACTTCTCAACGCCTTTGTTAAACAGCCATTTACACCCTTGCATCCCGTGAATACATTTCCTCGGGGGGCGAATTCCATAATTTTTCATGTGCCAGTGTGATGGATCGTCTCGATTTTTTAGATCCCAACTTTGACAAGCAGCCGAGGAGAGACCCACACGGCTGCCGAGTGGCCTTTTTGTTTTTGCATTGCAGCCCTATTTACTGATAGACAATAAATCTTCCACATGCAAATTTTATCTCCCTTTAAGTGTATGATGCTTCCTGAAGGTTAACATGCATCGTGAGGGAATTTAGCCACAAAATGGTGTCCGTGTTGTCCTCACCGGGAAATAAGCCATGCAGATAAACTGGCAATACAGTCGGGGGGATTAGTGACGATGAGCGATTTTATGTCGGTTGTTACAATTTGATGGCTCTTTGGCTGTAAACGCTTGAAATAAAACCCATTAAAGTTTTTAGTGTACACTGTCTCTGCACTCTCCCGCACTTTTACAAAACCATCTCAAATTGCCCCCTTCAGGATTCCTATGAGCCATTATGTATTATCTGTGAGTGTGTGTGTGTGTGTGCAGCTATGTGTGCGTGTGATTAAAATGAACCCGCCAGCTTGAGTACCTGCGACGTCGAAGGAGGCACAACAAAAGCGGGCGGGCCGTTCTCCTCTCTGATAAACAGACATAATTCAAATGTCAGCATTTGAATGTCATCCTCAAAGAGGCCTCTCCATCAGCGCGCGAG